TCATTAATGAAATTCCCCCCCCCCCCCCCCCTACCTCTCTGCCACTCCTCTGCCCCTTCCCTCTCTGTCCCTCAACCTACCCCGCTCTCCTCCAGCGAAATAGATTTTTTGTACAAGCTAGGGAAATTTTAAAAAAGAAATACAAACAAACAGAAGGCAACAAAGACGAGATTTTTAAGGTATCTACTTTGCTAAATAGTGAGTAACGGCCGTTGGTAGATGACTACTGATTGAAAATGAACGACAATTCGAGCAGACCGAATAAACACAGATACTGGCTTGAGGACTAATGAGGTTTTTGCTTTCGGTAAAATTAGTTAAAACGCTTCTGCGCACATCCTCCTATCTGAAAAAAAAAAAAAACACCTTTTCAGTTTCTTTGATCTCATAATCATTGTCGTGACAGCTGACTTATGCCCGTATGATGCCTTGTCCTACTGCTGTTGTTCACTTAAAATCGCTGTGACTGTTCCATAGGTTAAACGGTCAAAGCGATTTCGTGCGAAAAATATCAGAATGCTTAAGAGTCTAAGCCTGATTTTTCTCCCTGGGCATCAGCTACTCATGTACTTTCTTTTTTGTCCATATCAATCCTATCCGGGCTGTCAGTATGGGTATCCTTTGTTAGTAAAATCTTATTCTTGATTGCAATCTTCCAGTTTTTACCAATTAAGCATCCAGCGCTGACCCGGTTGTCGCAATCCAATTACCGGCACGTTCCCACTTCCCGGTGTCTGTACTTCTTGTTTTTATACTATATCCATCGCCTGTTGCATGCATATGCGCCATCTCTTCGAGAATTCCCCTAATGGTTGGAAACTGTTTACTTTCTCGCGGATAACACTCACTAATTCGTAATATCCACCAATTGTCAGTATGGCAGGCAACATCTTCGCCCACTGGATTTTACTGACTGTATGGAAAGGGTAGGAAAAAAAAATGAAAAGTTACCCTACTACTGTTGCTGCAGCTGTTGAACACGCCCTATCACCTGTTCTTCTAGCGCTGAATCCCTGAGATAATCCAGGCCCAATGTTGGGAAATCCTCTTCCGCTAGTATTTCACCCAAAGCTTGCCAGCATTTCCGATTGAATAACATTGATTCATAGGTACTTTTACTTTCGGGCAATAACTGCGACAAGTATCTGTAAAAAACACACCTCACTTTTTTCGTAACGCCACAGCAAATGTTTAGCACAGTTAACATAAAAAAGGCATAAAATTGATAACAAAGGGAACAATACTGATAAAGCTGAAGCATTTTAATTGGAACAAAACGGAAATTTTTAATTCAAAAATAACTCCTCGTCGTTCACCTGCTCTTTATGAGAAGCGAAGGCACAAGGAAAGTGGCCTGAGTGGCAGTAAATGCTAACAGCAACTATTCGCTGGCAAGACTGTCTGCAGCCTCCTCTTTCGAGGGTTGCTTACAAGCAAACTGATGGCGGATTTTACTCTTTCATATATGCTAGCACCAGTTTATTAACTTTGGCTGAAGAAGTTTTCCAATATGCAAAACCAAGTATATTTAATCATGAAGTTGAACTATGCATTCCAATGCTACAAAAGAATCAATCAAAAAGAACGGTTAAATGCAGCAGTGTGACTTGGAATAAAAAACAAGCACCTGAAGGAGTAGAAAATGCAAGCATTGGAGTAATAATCTGAAATCTAAAGGAGAGCAAAAGAGGAGACAGTAAATAGGGAAGCCCACTACTTGTTCTCATGCATTTTTGCCGTGTGTGTGTGTGTGTTTGTCGACGAAATGAAATTAGCCTGGATGGTTTCACTAGTATGTGGAATTGTGTCGCCGCAGTACTGAAGTAATGCGCTAAAAATTCGGAGAGAAAATATGAAACGCGTTTGACTGACATGAAAAAACTTACTCAAAAACAGGAAGTGCGATGGTATCCATGAATTCAAGTTGCAATTTCGGTACACAAGCACGGTCACGGTCCATCATCTCCAATGGACGATTACCCATCTGCTTTTCCAAGTCACCTTGCGAGAAGAACTCCTTATAGATACTCTCCTGAGAAACAAAATCTTATATAGCATTTTTTCAGTGATAATCTCTCAATCATCATCAATATCCCAGTGCCTTCCGAAGATGGAACAACGAAAGAAACGCACGTGCGGTCAATCTATGCGAGCGTACCTTGTCCTTTTATCACACAGTTTGTGGACAGCTGCAGTGAAAACCCAGGCTGGAACGCACCAGGCGGGCCGGTGCGATTATGCGTTTTTGCACTTTTCGTACCG